CAACTCTTTCAGTTCACTTCAGTTTCATACAAATTCTCCTTGGACACAATTACTGGGGTATTTTCTTAAAATGAATTCCATTAATGTTAATCAAGGTTTGAAAAAAACTCATTTTTAATAGGATCCTTTGGAAAGTGTTAGAAAGAAATCCTGATAATTTTTGTTGTCCCATTTTCTTCATTTTTGTTAAAGAAGAAAATGTTTTGCTATGACATTCAATATCACAACCAATTGACAAAAACTTTCCTCCTTTCGACATTATTTATCATAAAGTTTTCTAATCTGCATGTATTTTTTTTTCTCCCCAAATAAATTCCAGCTTCTAGACTGTCTTCTCCTTTTGATACGAGATGTGCTTAATAAAGAAATAGATAAGAGCATTTCTAATATTCTAGAATATTCCACAGATATTTGGGTGTGACGGATTAATCTACAATTAATGCAAGCGACAGCAAACTCTTGAGGCAGATTACAAAACATACTTAGTGAATCATTTTTCTTTTTGCCTTCATATCAGAACTATCCTGAAATAAACTTTTTTTCTTTCTTTTTCTTTTTTTATTGAAAATTTAACATAAATAAACTTAATTTTCTATAAAAGTTTTGTATATTTTGCCAAACTAATGATTTAAATTACAATGAAGGGATGTATTTGCTTAAACAAGAAAGAAATAATCTCTATACTGTACCATCAAAATTCAATATTTGTTTGTTTTGTTTTTTCATGAGAAGGATTTTTATTTATGCTTTTAACTCTAGTGTCTCATGGGAAAAAGGATTATGTTTTCTGGAAAAGTAAAGAAATTCAAAGGGGATACAAGAGACAAAAAGCAATGTATTAGCAGCCTTACTTAACTAATGAGAGATTCCGTTATAGTAATATGAGGCATGTTTGCTAATTGGTACAGTATGTATTAAGACCTTGAATAAGTTCTCACTGATTTTTCATGAAAAGTAATGTTTTATTTACAAAAATTAGTAAGAAACGTATCACTAAAAGTACTGTCCATCGCTAGCCACTACTTTTTCCCATATTTCTGGAGGTATTTGAATTCCACATCAGAAAAAGACACGTCTTTTGAGGCTAACCACGAGTCGGCCCATTTTTTGGCATCTTCATAAGAATGAAAGTGCTGCTGAGCCAGGCCATGTGCCATCGATCGGAACAAGTGATAATTGGACAAGGCAATGTCTGGTGAATACGGCGAGTGGGGTAGGACTTCCCCTTTAAGCGTTTTCAAGTAGGTTTTCACCCATTTTGCAACATGTGACCTAGCATTGTCATGTTGCAAAATCACTTTGTCATGTCTCTGCTTGTATAGCAGCCATTCTTCAATGCTCGGCTCAAATGCATCCAATTGTAGTCATCTCCTGTGATGGTTTTGGTCGGTTTGAGCAGCTCCTAATAAACTACACCCAACTGACCCCACCAAGTACAGAACAGAAGCCTCAAACTATGAATATTCGGTTTTGCCACTGATGTTGATGCATGGCCGGGCTTATCCCACATTCTTCTATGCTTAGGGTTATTGTAGTGTATCCACTTTTCATCATAGGTCACAATATGATGCAAAAAAAAAAAAAAACTTTTCTCTTTTGTCATTGAAGTAGCTGTTCACACGTAACAAGACACTGTTCAAAGCCTCTCAGTTTCAACTCATACAGCACCCAATATCCTTGCTTTTGAATCATCCCTAATCTTTCAAACATTTCAAAACTGTTGTGCAATCAACTCTTAATGATTCTGCAAGTTCAGCTTGCACCTGGCATGAATCTTCATGAAGTAATGCCTCCAATTCTTTGTCTTCAAACTTTTTAGGTGCACCACTGCATCCTTTATTTTCAACATGAAAATCCTTATTTTTCAAGCGTCTAAACCAATCTCTGCATGTTGTTCCCGACAGAACATGGTCACCGTAAGTCTCAACAAGAATTCTGTTTGCAGATTTGTTCGAATGAAATAGTGCAGTAAAATTCGTTGCAAATACATTTTCTTTGGCACAAAACCTGACATGTTTAATGCTATAAAAAAACAAAGTTGTTTACACTTCAGCGAAATGACATACACTGAATTTCAAGCTTGCATATAGTACTTCCTTATAGATGTTTTACCATGTGAAACTACACACATGCAATTATGGAAACACCACCATGTGTTGGAAAATATCAAGAACTTTATTCAAAGTCCTTATATATATATGTGTGTGCACATGCACTTGCTGATCTCAGCCACGTGTTTGCTCTCGTTTGTTTCCTTTTCTCTCCTGTTGCTTGTGATCTAACCTAGTGAACCCCCACAGTACAGCCAACTCTCACCCGCAAGTTTTATTACCCTTTCCCTGCTATTATTTGATCCAAAATGAGAATATACCTTCTGAAGTAGTTATTAACCTGAGAAATAATGAATTGCACTCTTTTAATATTCCTACTGTTTTTAATAAAACCTGCAATTCTACTACTTGCTTAGCCAATGCTTTCATATCTTCTATTGCCTCCACTCTAAAGTCCATCATTTATTATGCCCAACTCTTTCCATTCACTTCTTGATTCATTTTCAGTCTTCCTCCCAAATCTCTGCCACATCCTGAGGATAAACAAATGCTAAATCTATAAATCACATATTGAAAACTTTTTTTTTTTCCAAACTGTATCCTCCATACAACTAACATTATCTCTTATGGATTTGATTACCTCAGCAATTTCAGCATCAATAAAATGTCCCCCCTTTTGGATTTTCCTGCAAACCTGTTAGAATCTTAACAAAAATCATACACTTATTACCATTAGGTGTTTTAATGAATGAGAGATTGAAAATGATTACACATTTAATTCACTTCCCCTTCCATCGTATCTTCATATGTAGAAATGTTTTTTTTCCACAAAATGGTCTTTCAATGAATTGCTGTTAGTTTCCTTAAAATTCAAAATTAATGAATGGATCATCAATTTAAAAAAAAAAAAAAAAAAAAATGGTTTCCTACTGCAGATAGCAAAATAAATAAATCCTATTTTCTTTTTGTTAAATGAGATATTGTTGCAATTGAAGTGCCTTGAGCTGATTGCTTAAATTTTCTCTTCTAGATTGAGCTTTTAATCAAGTACGAGTGGTATTATTATTATTAATCTGATTGGCTACAAGATAAATCCTACTAATCTGATGATAGCTGTTGGCCTGTTTTGATTCTGTTGATTTCATCACTTGGCTCCAAACTAAAATTCAATTGGCTAAATTTGAATTTCTCTTTCATTTCTGTGTGCATGTCTGTCTGTCTTGCTGGTATTTGCATGTCACTCTCTTTGTGTGTGTATGTGTGTAAAATTTTCCATTCTACTGGACATTTTGCTAGAATGTTTATTTTCCTAACATCTCGGAACATCAATAAGTTCATCACTTAATGATGAAAAAAAAGCATTAATCTAACATAATATATTCTTTTTTTTTATATATATAAACTGAACATTAGACAGTAAAAAATTCAGATCAATTTCTGCTAATAACTGTCATTTGATGGACTTGCTCATTCCCTTTTGAATATAGTTTTAATCAAAAGTTTACATCCTTTTAGAAATAGTTGTTAAAAAAAACCCTACTGAATGGATATTATCAAGAAAATGAAAATGTAATAGGCCTTCATTTGGATTTGACAATTCTTCTGTTTCTTAATTATTTTTCTTGTGTTCTATATCTCAAGAGAAAAGCCTTAAATCCCTGCACTCTTTGTATATATTAAATGCTGTTTCCATGAAACCCTGAATAAGACAAATACCTTTTCTTTTTTTTCTTTTCTTTTTTTTTTCTCAACATTAACAAGATGGATGCAACTGAAGATCATTAAAGAGATTTGATATTTTTCTTGTCACTTACAGTAAAATTCTCAACACTGCTCCATTTTTCTGAATTTTTTTTTATACCACTTTACAAAATAATTTTCTTCAAATTTTGTTATCATTATGAAATTACATTAATTATTCAAATTGAAGAGGGGAATTTGTATGTTAGATTTTTTTTTTGTCTGAGTTTCTGGGGTGAAGAGTTCTTATTTACACTATTTATATTTGGACTACAACATCTTTGTTATCACAACCTTTTTGGCTGTTGTGTCCTTCAGCCTTCCTTTGGTGTATATCAATCTGGGTAACCTACAGGGAATTCTGAACTGAGCCCTTTATTTAATCTATGGGAAGTGGACTGCTCTCATTCCACTGCTCATGTCTAGGGATATTGTCTAATTCTTATTTTAATTAGCATTGTTTAGTTATTGCTCATCCATTTCCACTGTACACACTGCCCAACCTAGGGATCAAACTCACAACCACAATGTCACCAAATTCCCAAACTAATGCTTTTACCCACTAGGGGACAATGAACATTTATAATAGATGAAATAATAGGCCATACATGTTAGCAGGAATCTGGTCAGGAAGCTGAACAAAGAAAAAAACATAATCCTTATCCCAAAATAACAATGATGTGATTATAATTGTTGTGATTTAGCTCTTCTAGGCAAAAGAATAGAAGAGGGAATTTCTAAGTTTATACACTTTAGTAGGTTGGGAGGAATATTTTCCTCTCCCTCACAAATCCAATTTTGTTTTAGACCCAACTATTGGAATTATATTCAATCAGGTTAAATGAAAAACTCTTCATGTCTCAACTGCAAGATTTAAAGGAACTGAACTAAAATCTTTGGTTTATTTTTCTTCCTTTGAAAATACAAAGGAACTTATAACTTTTCTTAATATCATTTAAATAAAGAAAGTACTTGTGGAGAGCTACTTATTATCTAATGCAATATATCAAAGATTTTATTTGAAGTGGAGGAGGGGGGGGCAAATCTTCCCATTTCTTGCTATAAGATAAAAATGAGCAACTTTTTAAGTTGAAATTCTTCCACAAAAATCTTGCTTATATTAATATTGTTAACTTGAAAACTGATCATTTTGTGAAATGTTGTTTTAAATAATGCAATGTCTAATCCAGTTTTTTTATTTCTTTTCAGAAGTCAGAAAGATGAGTTTTCTTAGGAGAAAATCAGGTATGGTTATTTGCTTTGCATTATATATGTAAAGATCTGATGAGAATTAGACTGTTGCAACATAGTCTAGCCTTATTTTACTGTTATTTGTAGTTCTACAAAAGAAATCTCTAAATAAATCTTGTTTTTTTTCCCAGTAACTGACATCAAATCTATTTGACAGCAACAACAATACAAAGGCGGAGAGCTGTTATTGTTTCCAGAATAATTTATAGTAAACGCAATATGACGTTAACAACATTCCAAAACATCTTATAGAAAACTTTAATGATTTGTTACTTGTGTAGATAATGATTGCAAAATAAATTGAAGATCTTTAGTGGCTTGAAATAGTTTGAAATGTTAATTTATTGGTATATTCTTGTCGTTAGTTTGAAAACAGGAACCGGTCTCTTTCTCTATTTTTCACTTTCGCTCTTTGATTATTGCAACTTTTTTTTCTCCTTTTGATCGTTACAACACGCTTGCACTAAAAAGAAATGCCTCCACAATATTTAAAAAAAAATACAGTACCGATTCAGTATCTGATCTGGAAATAGATTTTTTGCAGTTTTATATTGTGTGAAGGGGAATGTAATATGAATTGTCAAACTATTATTTATAGAAAAAACAGAAAATTGTATTTATGATTCTTAATATAAACTGACTTTGTGTGTGTGATAAAATGAATGCATTTTATGCTGACCTCTTCTATAATAAATTTTAATTTGGTTTTAATTCCCCCTCCCCATGCATTTTGATATGTTAAAATTACTGCTATTTGCTTTCAAATTGAAAATTAAATCTGAAAGCTGCAAATGTTTTTTTTTTTCTTCTTAAAACTGCTAAGCTTATTGCACTCTGTTTGAAAGCCTTCAAATGTTCCCAAATTAGATTTCATCAGCCTTACTCATGCTTAAATATACCACATCTACTTGGCAGCTGATAAGAGAAACCTTTGAAAGAATCTGATAGAATGACTTAGCACTTGATATTCTTATTATTTACTGTTGAAAAAGAAAAATATTGGCTAATAAGGATCCAAATTTACTTTGAAAGTTTCAAATGATGAATTTCAGTTAAATGTTGTTCAAATTAGCAATCCTACATTAAGTTCTGCTTCTTTCTTCCACTTGATCAATCATCTTTGTCTTTTTTTTTTTTTTTTCTTTAACCATTTACAGTGACAAGATTCTTAGGTAAAACATCTAAAAATATTCCAGGCCTTTTTGAATTTTAGATCAAGTTTTCCTATAAAGGTATTTGAGTACTTTCTTTTGATACACACACTTTTGGCTGATCATAGTTTTCTTTACTTTTTCCCAAAAACAAAATTTGAGCCAGAAAGAAAGCAGGAATGAGTTTAGACTTCCACATAATCTAACAGCCTTGTTTAGTCAAATGTGATTTTCTTGAATCGACCTTAGTAACTTCTCAATGACTTATTAGTCAATAGCAGTTTTAACAAGAAAATGAAAAATCAAGAATAACGACAATGAGACATATTTTCTTCTTTTCATTCTTCAATTCTCTTCATCTGGAATTCTTTGGGCTTATTGTTTGGAAATTTTTGCTTTCTATCTTGGATATGAGATGCCACTTTCTGTCAATGGTTCTTCTTAATCAATTGATTTCCATTATTCAGCTCTTTCTTTCTTTCCTTCCTTTTTATATATATATATATATATATATATTAGGTACCTCCACTTGCTGAAAAGCAGCATAGCATCATAAAAAAGGTCCCAAACTTAATAAAATCAAAGGTTTAGCATCGATATATATGTTATTAGTAAAGGGAAAGATGGAAGTTTTTCTTTCAAGGCATTCTGGGGGCAGCATTTCTCCACAAAAACAAAATGTAATTTACACATTTTATTGCCTTCCTTTTTATCAATAACTACAAAATATTACAATTGTAACATTTCAGCCATTTTTCCTAGTGTCATGGCTTTTCTCAATAGTCACCATTTTTATATACATAAACCAAGAAAATTAAATATTTAACTTTTATATAAATAAAACCTTCTTGTGTCAGTGGTTTTAAATCAAACAGCTTGATGGCCTAATTTTTTGTAAACTGTCTTGAAAGCTTGTCTAAAATCACTTAAGACTAATATTTGCCATCACTTTTATACCTGATTGAATTGACATTTACCTTATCCACAATCTCATTTCCCAAGATGAGCTTTCATTTTTCTTCTGTCTGCAATGATACAATTTTTTTTTTTTTTTATGGAGTCTTGTGTGCTAGACATTTTGCTGTTTTTCCATTCAACATAATCTCTCTGATTACAATATTGCAAAGATTTCTTTTCCTTTCTCTTCCCCCTGCCTGTTTATATAATTACAAACTCTTCTGTATTTGTAATCTTGCTCACATTCACACACACACACACACACACACACACACACACACACACACGTATGTGTTAATATATATATATTTTTTTTTTAACATGTATAACTTGAATAAATTGTAAGCTATGCCAAACCTAACATGAGTCTACATTAATTTCAAGCTGCAATCTGCCAATGCAAATAGCAACATTTACAATTATAGTTTGTTTTTGTTTTGTTTTTTTAACATATAGCAAATAAATTTGTGCCATTTTTACATTATTGTTCAACCATTCTAAGAAATATCTATCTTTTCTAATGTCAGGAAATCAATAAAAAAAAAATCAAAATTTAAGTGAATACTACGTAATGACTCAATTTCTTCAACATTTAGTGGTATTCATTTCAAGAGTTTTTCTTTTCCCTTTTGATTGTAATTTGGCAACATTGTGTTCCAAACTAAAAGAAACGTAAACAATGTTGTGCATGTATTTTGATGTGATTGAGTCACAAAATGCTTTCCTAATTAAAAACTGTTATACTAATAATTATGGAAGCAATTAAGTCAGATATAATGCAGGTTAGGTTTAATGTGTTTCAGTAGGAGATTGAGATTGCATCAATACATTTGCAGGTTTGGGAGGGTGGTTCTCAAATTTTCTCTTTTCTCATTGTCTGTTTTAACATTTCTTTTATTTTTAGTGACTCTGAACAGATTTTCATGATTTTCCTGTTTATCTTCATAGTAATTCTTTCTCTCTTTCAATGCCTACTGTTTAGACTTCTTCCTCATGAAATACTTTGGGATATGGCCTACTCTTCTTTTCTTTTTCTTTTTTTTTTTTCTTTTTTTTTCTTTTCTTTTTTTTCTTATTTTGCTTCAGTTTTTGTGGTGAACAATTATGTAGAAGTAAGCAAGTCAGAGTAGCTTGCATCTAGTGCAAAGGAAAATAAGTTCCTTTCCTCAATACACATGTAGCAGCGACATTGTTCCTTAAAAATGGTATTAATCTTCCCCCCCTCCCCTCCACTTTAGATTATTTTGGAAGTGTATGATTCTGTAACATTGGCTTTTATACAACCTTAGCATGGTTCAACCAATAGCAATTCGCGTGCCGATTGGTTGGACTGGAGGATGCCATTTGACTATATGATTGACCAATCAGCATTCTTTGCTTCATCTTCAGTCAGCCGTGGTGTTGGCATAATAAAAGAGGGCTGAAGCAGAGCAATTTTTACATTGGTGACGTGTGTGCAAATTCAAGAATGGTTTATTGGAATATAGCCTCATTTAACTACACTTTTATTAAAGCCACTTCCACGTTTCCTGTTTGCAGGGACTGGGATAAGACTATAAGATTAGCTATGGCGTTTATCTTTGTGTTTTTGCTGAGATCCTGGGACTTCACTGAAATATGTCAGCAGGCTATCAATTATAATGCAGCTTTTTGTAAGTGGACATTTGGTCTTCCAGCAGTTTTTTGGCTGCTTGTTTGAGACTAGCATGGGAATGATGAAACACAGTGGTCAATACCTGCTGATTCTCTTTGAGATCTGCTATTGACTCTGCTGCTTAATGTGGCCAGGGATTGGGCAACATAATGCACATTCACCATGTGTGGGTGGCTAAGCAGTATACCTTTTGCAGCCTTTGTTTCTCCCTGTCATTATTGTAGCTCCATCTAATCTTGTGCTCATCACTTTGGTTAATAGGGTTTCCATTACTGACATCACTTCACAATCGTTTGTATCAACACATTGTTTATTTGCTTCAAAATAAGTGCTTGGTTAAAATAAATCCAGGGTGTTGCTTATATCCGTAGATCCATCTATGAGCACAGTCATGAATGGGGATTCAGTTACTTTTGTTTTTACAGCTGTGTCTGCCATACTGGACAGCAGTTCCTTGGCTGTATATCTTGAATTGTATGCTACTGCTTTTTCTTCTTTTTTTTTTTTTTTTTTTTTTTTTTTTTTCTTTTTTTTTTCTTTTTTTTTTTTTTTTCTTTTTTCTTTTTTCTTTTTTTTTTTTTTCTTTTTTCTTTTTTCTTTTTTCTTTTTTTCTTTTTTCTTTTTTTTTTTTTTCTTTTTTTCTTTTTTCTTTTTTCTTTTTTCTTTTTTTTTTTTTTCTCTTTTTTCTCTCTTCTCTTTTTTCTCTCTTCTCTTTTTTCTCTCTTCTCTTTTTTCTCTCTTCTCTTTTTTCTCTCTTCTCTTTTTTTTCTCTCTTCTCTTTTTTTCTCTCTTCTCTTTTTTTCTCTCTTCTCTTTTTTTCTCTCTTCTCTTTTTTTTCTCTTCTCTTTTTTTTCTTCTCTTTTTTTCTCTTCTCTTTTTTCTCTTCTTTTTTTTCTCTCTTCTCTTTTTTTCTCTTCTCTTTTTCTCTTCTCTTTTTTCTCTCTCTCTTTTTTCTCTTCTCTTTTTTTCTCTTCTCTTTTTTCTCTCTCTTTTTCTCTTCTCTTTTTTCTCTTCTCTTTTTTCTCTTCTCTTTTTTTCTCTTCTCTTTTTCTTCTCTTTTTTTCTTTTTTTTTTTTTTTTTTTTTTTTTTCTCTTTTTTCTCTTCTCTCTTTTCTCTTTTTTTTTCTCTTTTCTTTTCTTTTCTCTTCTCTTTTCTTCACTTTTCTTTTCTTTTCTCTTTTTCTTTTTTTTTCTTTGCTTTTTGAGATGGGGAGTCTTCTAGGCCATCCAGT